TTTTCCACTGCAGACTTTCTCCAAAGCTGTTCTCCCCAGAGAACAGCACTTATACACACACACACACACACACACACACACACACACACACACACACACAACCTTTGCTAAAGGGCAGGGGGTTTTGTTGTGGGAACATTATCCAATGTATTTACACAAACTGAGCTATGATGTTGCAGATAGACTCTTTTGGAGCCTTCTGTCATAGCAACATTGTTGACCAAGATGTCCTAATATAGCCCATGACTATATATATGATATGCATACAATATGATACTAGACTAAAATGTATGTGTATAAATTGCATAAATATTTAAAATTCTGTACAAGATTTTACAAGTAAAATTCAGGATACCTATTTCAATTTACATTTCAGATAAACAATTAATAACAGGATGGTAAGAGCCAAAAATTCAGGGCACGGGGCAGGGCCATCCATAGACTCTTGCTCTCTGGTTTCTCCTGTTTTTCTTTTATTATACCAATATGTAGGGTGGTATAGAGGGTGGTACAGCCTCTTCCTCTGTTGACAGTGCAGGTGAGGGCTGGATGTATGTGGGTGTGGACAGAGCTGCAGGCTTTCCAGTGGGCCGGTCAAATGGTTGCCTCTTTGGGGACTGAGGGTGGATTGGGCAGGATCAGACATCTCCCTGTATAAGCAGGGACATCTGTGTACCAGGTAGGCTTGGTGAAGGGTCTGCTGACCACCTGTTTTAAGAAGTAGAGGACCCAGTTCAGTGTCTGGCCTTAACTACATCATGAAGAGTCCTCATGCTCTGTAGTCAGATTTTTTTTAAGACATCTTCCACCAGGTACCCGTGGCTCACACCTGTAATTCTAGCTACTCAGGAGGATGAGATCTGAGGATCACAATTCAAAGCCAGCCTGGGCAGGAAAGTATGTTGGACTCCAATAAACCTCTAGAAAACTGGAAGTGGCACTGTGGCTCAAGCAGTAGAGTGCTTGTCTTGAACTGAAGAGCGCAGGGACAATGCCCAGGCCCAGAGTTCAAGCCCCATGACCGACAAAAAAAAAAAAGAAAGAAAAAGAAATCTGCCTATGTGCCTGGCCTCTTAATTTCAGTCAGGTGGTTTAAGAAATCAGTTTTATCTCTTTTCACTGTTTGAAAACCAAAACCAAAACAAGATGTCTGGAGGACTTTCAGTGATTGATTTTAGCTCTGGGTTCTAGGCTTGTGCGGTTCGACTGTAGCTCACAACGGTGGTGACACTTGGAGTCACACAAAGTCACACTTGGATTACTTAATTTCCATCTCTATAAATCTGGGGGATAGAAACTCTACTGGGAAGCCATACATTTGTACTGCTTGTGGAGAGATAGAAAAGCATCCCAAGTCTCCCACATATAGCCTTGAGCTGTAATATTATAACAATAAAACACTGCTTAGCTTAATAGCCATTGAGGGCTTCCAGTGACTGAGTAAGCACAGATGCCCATTTCTTGAAAAGTCATGAATGCTGCCCACTTTGGTTTTCTCCCAGGCAAAGACCCGACTTTTTCCTTTCCAAACACTGCATTTACATAATTAGTCTTAATATGGGCTCATTTTACATTGGCGTTGTGGTCTGGCAATGCACTCTTTTCTGCAGTTACCATGTGGGTGGAGCATGAGGGCTCCAGGCTGAGCTCTGGCCCTAGGTAGATGTTGGTGGATTGGACCCAGAATGCCCCTCTCCAGGATATCTGAAGCAAGACTTCACCCGCCCTAACCACCATTCTCATTTTGGATTCATGGCATTGGCTTAGCAGAAATATAAATCGTTCATTGGGTTGAGGAAACTTGATATGAGGTCTGGAGCAGGACTTTTAGAATAGGCTTATTACAATGGTCTTCCCTTCCCTTTGCTTTTGCTTCTTGTTCTTTCAGTCACCCAAGGCCAATAATGGTCTGAAACTGTTCCAAGGAAAATTCTAGAAATATAAACAATTCACATGTTTTAAGTGGCATGCCATTTGAAGTAGCATGGTGGAGTTTTGATCTATCTTAGTCGTTGTCTCCTGTGCAGTGAATCCTTTATCAGGTGTTTTCATTCTGTATAGCCTACCTGCCTGTTAGTCACTTAGTAGTTGGCAGTAAGATCCACTGACATGCTATCATGGTACTTATGCCTGAGTATCCTTGTTTTATTTAGTAATGTTCCCAAAGCATAGGGATGCTCGTGATTCAGATATGTCCAAAAGAAGCCATAAGTGCTTTGTTTAAGGGAAAAAGTAAAAGGTATCAACAGGAAATAAAAGAGGATCTGCAATAAGGACTCTCCCATCTGCAAGTTGTAAAGAACTCCACACTAAGTTTCTGTTCCCCCCAACTTGCAGAAGTTGTAGCCACAGCATGTGACACACACTGAGCCTAAGTGGAAAAACACTTGGAGTGGGATCAGCCCTGGCCCTGGTTTCAGGCACCCACTGGCTGGCTTAGTGTATAGCCTTCTCAGATAATGAAGCTCCTGATCTTTCCATATCTCACTATGGAAGGTGACCTCAGGGTTGACGTCCTCATCTTGCTGTGTACTTTAATCAGTAACGCATGTCCTACTCTGCCTTTTGGACTTGGACCATTTCTTTCTAAAAATTGTTTAATTAAAAATGATGATTAGAATACATTACTACTGTACTGGGGACATTCACTGTGATCTTTCCATACATGCTTACAATGTATATACCTTGTCGATCTTACCCCTCCCCAATCTGTGCATGTGTGTGCGTGTGCATGGTGCATGTGTGGGCATGTGTGCACATGCGTGTGTGGGTGTGTGTGCAAGCACGCATGCACACATGTGTGCTAGTATTAGAGCTTGAATTCTGGGCCTTACACTCTTTAAAAAATTGTTTTTGTAAAGGTAATGTACAGAGGAATTACAGCTACATAAATCAGATAATGAGGGCTGGGAAGGTGAGGCCCTGGATTCGATTCCTCAGCACCACATAAGAAAAAAGAAAAAAGCCGGAAGTGGTGTTGTGGCTCAAGTGGTAGAGCAATAGCTTTGAGCTGAAGAGCTGAGGGACAGCTTCCAGGTCCAGAGTTCAGGCCCCACGACCTGACCCAAAAAATAAATAAATAGTCAGATAATGAATAGTGAGTGTCACCTTTTCCTTTTCTCCCAGTTTTTTCCTCCTGACTCCCTTCTTCCCTAATTGCATAGTTCATTTTCAACATAGTGTCTAGTATCACTGCTGCTGTTGTTCACCCTTTGTCCCATCATTTTTGTGTTCCCCTTTACCCTCCACCAAACAGATAAAATAACATATAAGACAGAAAGTACAGAAATAAAAACCAGTGACAAGAGGGGGGGGAAGCAAATCAACAAGAAAAACCTATTGTTTCCATTTCTTGGAGCTCATTGATAAACATCATTTAAATGAGTATATGCAAATAGCTATTGAGCCTTTGTGATCCTCTCCTTTGGTTTCACTGTGTGAATGTCTAGAGTCATGTATTATTTATCATGCCAAACTATTTGTTTTTGTCTTTTACCATCCAGTGTCTTGTAGATTTATGTTATGTAGCTAACATTTTCCTGATCCATTCATCCATAGAGAGGCATCTGGTTTGATTCCATATCTAGACTGTGGTAAACAATGCTGCAGCGAACCTGGTTGTGCTGGTAGCTTTAGTATGGCCTTGTTTGTGGTCTATTTGATTAATGCCTAGGAATGGAATGGCTGGGTCATAGGGGAGTTCTATGTTTAGTCTTTTGAGGAACCTTCATACTGCTTTTCAGAGTGGCTGAACAAGTTTACATTCCTACCAATATTGTAGTAGCAATCTCTTATGGCCACTTCCCCACCAGCATCTATTATTGTTAGTTTTCTTGATAATGGCCATTCTAACTGAGGTGAGGTGGACTCTCAATGTTGTTTTGATTTGCATTTATTTTATGGCTAGAGATGTTGAACATTTTTTCATGTGTCTATTGGTCATTCTTCTTCTGAGAAGTCTCTCTTCAAGTCTTTACTCAATTTATTAATTGGGTAGTTGTTTCTTTGAGAGTTTGAGGGGTTTTAATTTTTTGAGCTCTAAGTATATTTTAGATATGAAGGGCCTCACACTCTTGCTTCATTTTTTGCTCAAGGCTGGCATCCTACCACTTAAGCCATACTTCCACTTCTGACTTTTTGCTGGTTAATTGGAGATAAGAGTCTCATGGATTTGTCTGCCCAGGCTGGCATTGAACCAGATCTGAGATCCTTAGATCTCAGTCTCCTGAGTAGCTAGGAATAAAGGCATTAGCCACTGGTGCCTAGCTATCATTCTCCTTTAACTCCCTCCTTACTTCTCAAAACAATTTCATCTGGTTTTGTTGTTCTATTTCCATATATGCATATAAAGTACTTAAAGATATTCACCTTTATTCACCCTTTCCATTCTTCCTCCTCCTCCCACTGATACCTGATCCCCCGACAGAGCCTTTTTTACTCTCCTGTCATTTTGTCATTTTATTGTATATTAATTATACTAAGGGGTTTCACCATTGTAATCCAATACATGCATATACTATATTTTAACCTGAATGATCTTTTCTATTGCTGTATCTAATTGGCTTTTATAAATCAATAATTTACATTCTGCTTTAGAGATATCCCATTAAATGGAAACATGGTACCCCCTGTAGTAATCAAGGGTTGTCAAACGTAAGAGTCAAGGAAGTCTGATTTTTCTTTTTCGGGCATTGGAGCTGGAACTCACAGGCCTCACAAATATTTGGCCCTGCAAGCACTCTACCACTGAACTCTATCTGCAGCTCCCAAGGTGTCTTATCTTTACCATCAGAACTTCTACCGGGGCCAGACATGAATCCTACAGGTGCCCAGAGCCAGAGAACCTGCAGCTGCCAAGTGATGTGATGACCAGCCTCGGCCCCATTTCTTAGCCTCACATCCTAGCCAGGGATTGGGAGTCCTGGAACTACAGTCGGCACTCCCCACGTCCCTGAGTCAGTGATTACATTCTGACTGGGACATTTCTGTCTGTCTTGTAGGGCTGGTAGCCATAAAGGATGCTCATGACATAGAGGCGAGGCTCAATGAGGTCGAGAAGCTGCTTAAGACAATCATCAGCATGCCCTGCAAGGTAAGAACAGTGGGTCCAGGTTGGAGGAGGAGCGGGAGGGGATCCACCTGCCATCTTCCAAATCAAAAAGGTATCCACCCTCCCCTTAACTGGCCTGCTTGCTGTACCTCACTTAGGATACCTGGCTCCTCAAGTTGACTTGTAGGATCTATGTTTCTCCCTCTCTCTCTCTCTCTCTCTCTCTCTCTCCCCCCATCTCTCTTGTCTCTGTCTCTGTCTCTCTCTGTCTTGCTGCCTGTCCTTTTTCTCCCCTCTGTCATGATGTGGACATGAGAAGCCATTAGATCTTTTACATTTCTTACTCCTCGTCAGGCAAACAGGGATCTCAGTTTACTATCAAAAAGGGAGATGGCCAGGTATGAGGCTCATGCCTGTAATCCTAGCTACTCAGGAGGCTAAGATATAAGGATCAGGGGCTCAAAGACATCCTAGGCAGGAAAGATTATGGGACTCTTTAATTAACCACCAAAAACCAAGAAAATGGTAGGGTATCAGCCTTGAGCAGAAAAGTATAAGGGACATCACTCAGGCCCTGAGTTCAAGTTTCAGTACTGGCACAAAATATACAAAGAAAGGATATGTGTGTGAACCACAAACATGACCATTATTTTCATGGAGGCATCCTGTCCCCCTGGCTTTGCATTTTAGCTACCTGGAGAGGCTGGTTTGATTGTTCCCTTAGTACTTACTTGGGCAGCCGTGGAGCCTCAGAACAGCTAGAAAGTGTCAGACCAGCTTGCCTGGTGTAGGAACAGTATGGCCAACTGGTGGGAGCTTTTCATTGTGTTTCTCATTACTGTGTTTCTTCCCAGTATTCTAGGTCAGAAGTTGTGCTCACCTTCTTCGAAAGATCTCCTCTGGATCAGGTGTTAAAAAATGATAATGTACATAAAATTCAACCCAGCTTCCAAAGTCCTGTCAAAATATCAGGTAAGAGCTAGAGTGTAGGATGGGGTTGGGGGGGGAGGATGTACTATGTTGGCTATTTTCTGATTTGGCCTCTGGATGGGCACAGCCAGGCATCCAGAAAGACAATTGATCAGCTTTTTGAAAACAGTGTGTGAGATATTGTTGCTTGAGTTTTACTCAGCAGAGTATTTGCTACCTGTGAACCTGTAATCTACACCTTTCCTACTTTCAAAGGTTTTCTTTTTTGCATAAATTGGAACTCACTTAAGAAATAGTGACATTAGCAAGTCACTCTGTGTGTGTGCGTGTGTGCGCATGCGCGCTCTCAAGCGGATGTGTACACGTGCACACACCGCTACTGGAGCTTGAACTCAAGACATCACATTCTCACTTGGCTTTTTCACTCAAGGCTTGTGCTTCAGCACTTGAGCCACATCTCCATTTCTGACTTTCTGGTGATTAATTGGAGGTAAGAGTCTCAGGGGCCTCCTTTGAGTCTCAGAGGAATGAGGCTGTGGCTTTGGGATGACCTGGAAGCCCCTGACTCGAGGGGACAACCGTCTACAGAAATACCTCCCAAATGTTCCCCTCCTACATCTCCCCCTCCTGTTTTCAACTGGGACATGGATGGATCAGTGACCATGTCTGTCCTGAAAGACTGAAAGGAACAAGATGAAATTTAACGTGGTAAATGTAGAGCCCCACATTGCAGGGGTCGTGGTTTAAGTGTGTTCTTTGAGACTTTTTGCAAAATCTCAGGGCAGGTTTTGGGCCCCACTGTACAGAAACCTCCTCCCAGCCTCCATGCATGATTTGGTTGCAGGGTCCGGGTCTACAAGGCCATGGTCTTATCCTTCATGTGCAGGGTTGAGGAGAGGAGAGGGAAGAAATGGGGAGTAGGGTTTGTGAGGAAGAGGATGGCACCCCTTGGGTTGTAGTAGGCCCCTGTGGGAAGGGGGTTGGGCAGGGACTGGTATGGCCAGCAGGCAACTTCAGATCAACACAAAATTCTTTCTAACAAGCAGGCTGCAGCCAGCAGTTTCGTGCCAAGGCTTGGGGCCAACAGAGCGTTACTGTTCTTCCTAGAGTGAAGTAGCCTGGCCACTGTTTTGCTTCCTCTTGAGCTGTCCCATCTTGGCTTCTCAGCCCTCCTTGCTGTGTGAGCAAGGGCTTCCCCATGGGAGCCAGATTACAGGAGTGTGTAGCTGGCCAGCAATGTCCCCGCTGCCCTGGGCAAGATGTGGCTGGGAGAAAAGAGAGACAGCCTCCCTATGCTTTTTAAGCATTCATTCCAGAAAGCACCCACATTCCTGAGACAGTGATCACATTTGGCCCCATAGTTGCGTTTTTGCCTCAGCTTGGGGGCTGGAGAGGGTTGGCCTTCCAAAAACTGGTTCGCATGGCCTTTCCCTTTCTCTAGAACACACTGAGTGTGGATACCAGGCTTCAGCCAGCTCCTGAGAGCTTACTTCTCTCCTATCTTCCCCTGGGGTAAAGCCCAGTGCTCCCCTTTGTCACCAGGGTATATCAAGGTCTAACTCATGGTCTAGTTTCTTACGTTCCAGATCCTGTACTTTCTCTGCTGGACACTGCTAGAGTCTGGCTTATGTTACAGCTTTATAAATCATCTTCTACTGTTCATTGCTGAGGCCCATACCCACCCTCCTCCTCCGCTAATACCTTCAATGGCTAATGTGGCATTTGGGGGAGATGGTGCCTTGGGTAGGGCTCTAAGCCTCTGTATAGGATCATGGTTGAGGACGCATCAGGCTCTGAGTACAACCTTGCCTTTGTGGAATATTGAGACTGCTTAGTGGCCAGTTCTCCACTAGATGGCACTAGGTACTAGCCATGCTGAGAACTGTGTGACCTGCCCATCTGGGACTGCAGCAAAGAGAACCACTCAATCTTAAGCATGCTTTGCCTCATGCTGAGGGATATGCTTCTCAAATTTAAGAAAGCACAGTGTTCTGCATTGTAGCCATAGCTATGAAGCGTAACGGGAGCATAGAACTTGGCCCTCCTCTGTCTAATTGAGCTGATGGATTGCAGCCACAAGATCTAGTCAGTCAAGGGTTGAGGCCTAGAAATAAAAATAAATAGTATCAATTTTCATTAATCTGGCATGTGTACCATCTCAGCATTAATTTCTACTACACAGGGATGGTCCACTTAGCCAATTAATCAAAGAGTTGCTTTAGATTCTGTTCTTTCAGAGGACTTGCAAAGGAGGAATTGCATGCTAGGAATACTTGTATGGCTGAGACTCACAGCCTGCAGGAAGAAAGGAATAGAAGAATTCATGGTGAGGTGGCATAGGGGGCGTAGCTGCAGCTACAAAACAGAAAAATCACCACTGGGACCACACGCATAGTAGTGGTTATTTAGAAAAGATCCACTGGGTGAGACAGGTACTCAGATGGGGTTTTGAAAACCCAAGGAGAAAACAGGTTTACACAATCTCAAGGCCACCAGCTCCCAATTATCCATTAACTACAAGGGTAAAAAGAGTAATCTTACTTTGGGAACATCTGGCAGCCTCACTCAGCTACTTAGACTGGCATCACCTGTAATAGGACCTATGGACTATGCACATGCATGGGCACACACAAGCTCTGGTGTTACTCAGCAGACACATCCTCGTTCTGTGGGATCTCTAGGAAAGTTGTGCACCTGATCACTTGGGAGCCCAGCTTGACCAGGTGCTGCATAAGGCAGTCCTCTGTGCCAAACAAGGGCACCATCACCATGACAGGGAAAGTGAGGGACCACGAGGGGAGGGCCACAGCAGGTCAAGGCTTGGCAACTCAGGGCAGCCCGGGGAGGGAGGGGGGGTGCTGGCTTGGATCTGGAACAGAAAAAGGGAGCATTTGTGGAAACCCGTAACACTGCAGTGGCAAGGGCTTTACTTTTTAGTATGGTGCCCAAGTTAATGTCCTGGACTTAGCCAGTGGGCTACAGTTGCTCTGAAGTGCCAGTACAAGGAAAAGCTGCTGAGGGGTATGTGAGAACTCCAAAGTCAGCTCAGAATAAAAAGTTTAAAAAAATAGCCAAGCTCTGGTAGCTCACACCTGTAATCCTAGCTACTCAGGAAGTTGAGCTCTGAGGATGGCGGTTTGAAGCCTGCCCAGGCAGGAAAGTCTGTGAGACTCTTATCTCCAATAAACTCAGAAAAGGCCAAAAATGGTGCTGTGGCTCAAGTAGTAGAGCACTAGTCTTGAAGCAAAGATCGGGGACAGTGCCAAGGCCCCAAGTTCAAGCCCCAGGACTGGCATACAAAAAAAATGCTAAAACAGTGCTCTACTTCAAGAGACAAATATGGATATAACAAAGTAGCTCGAGGGATTAGGATAAGATACAGTGGTAGAGCAATTTACATAGCATAGGTGAGACTTGGGTTCCACTAGCTCTGCAAAGAAGAAGACAAGACCATGAAAACTGAACTGTTTTGGGGGTCAAGCATCTATGTTATTGAAGTGGCTGGTGGTTTTGTTATGGATACTAAATTGACATTCAGGAAATTCACTTTTTAAGTATGTATGAAGATAGATTTTAGGTGCTGCCATTTTTCTTCAATCATAGCTCTCCTGTGTGTGCATGCACCAATACCAGAGATTGAACTCAGAGTTTTGAGCTTATTACCAACTGAGCTGTGCCTCTAGGATAGCATTTTGTTGAGATGATGTTATGGACTTTTCCACTCAGGTTTCAGCCTCCTGAGTAGCAAGGATTACAGACAGGCTTCTTCAATTTGTTTGCATTTTGGGGGAGTGGGTACTGAGGCTTAACTCAGGACCTCACTCACTTGCATTCCATACAAGACTAGCACTCTTGAGCAACACCTCCACTTCTAGCTTCTTGTTGGTTAATGGAGATGAGTCTCATGGGCTTTTCATCTAGGCTAGTGTGAGTAGCTAGGATTACAGGCACCAGCCATTGGCTCCTAGCCCATCAGGGTTTTTGTTTTTGTTTCCCCCCACCCCCCACATATCATAATCTATTGGAAGACATTCCCTACAGAGATGTCCATAGTTACTATTTGTTTGAGCCCTTAGTGTTTTCTTTATAGATATCATCTCATTTAACCTGTGGCTAGGTCTTGGAGGCTGGATACTATCATTCACATTTACAGAAGAAGGAACCAAGCAAGAAATAATCTGCTCCCCAGGCATAGGTAGTAACCAAACGGGGTCTGAACCAGCTCTCCCCAAGCTCAAAGCTGTCACCTTCGTGTACTATGTGGCCCCTTTTACCCACCTAACCTTTGTTTCTACAAAGTTCTGCATTGCTGATGCTTGCATAGAGTGGTCTGCCACAAGGACCCCCATTCAAGTCAGAGACCTCGAATCTCAGTGAGACCCTCTGCTCGAACATGCAGAGTCCCCAGCCCATGCCACTTCCTATAAAAATTGACCGAACTGGTGACTTGTGTTCAAGCACTAGCTGACCTTTGTCTATACTGAGGAGAAAGGGCACTACTCTGGATTGTTAGGAGAGTAAGGCCTGCACTTACACTTGCTAGAGCTAAATGCTATTTCCTCTTTGTAAATTTTATATGACCTATCATTTGTTCAATTCTTCCTTGGACATTTCTTTTTCCTGCACGAAAGCTTAAACATGGCGCTTTGCACATCCTTCTCCAAGCCAGAGTTTGGAATAGATATTCCAAAGGTGCCAGTAGCTCACACCTGTAATCCTAGCCATACAGGAGGCTGTGACCTGAGAACTAAGCCCAGGGAAAATAGCCCAGAAGACTCTTAACTCCAATTAACCAGAAAAAGTCTGGAAGTGGAGCTGTGATTCACATGGTAGAATACCAGCCTTGAGCAAAACAGCTCAGAGACAGAGCTCAGGCCCTGAGTTCAATTCCCAGTACTGATACACACACACACACACACACACACACACACACACACACACACACACACACACA